ATCTGGTATTGTGGATGTGGTGGTGTCATCTGGTATTGTGGATGTGGTGGTGTCATCTGGTATTATGGATGTGGTAGTGTCATCTGGTATTGTGGACGTGGTGGTGTCATCTGGTATTGTGGATGTGGTTGTGTCATGTGGTATTGTGGATGTGGTGGTGTCATTTGGTATTGTGGATGTGGTGGTGTCATCTGGTATTGTGGATGTGGTGGTGGCATCTGGTATTGTGGATGTGGTGATGTCATCTGGTATTGTGGATGTGGTGGTGCCATCTGGTATTGTGGACGTGGTGGTGTCATCTGCTATTAAGAAAATGGTGGTGTCAGCTGGTATTGTGGATATGGTGGCGTCATCTGGTATTGTGGATGTAGTGGTGTTATCTGTTATTGTGGATGTGGTGGTGTCATCTGGTTTTGTGAAAGTGGTGGTGTCATCTGGTATTGTGGATGTAGTAGCGTCATACGGTATTGTGGAGGTAGTGGTGTCATCTGGTATTGTGGATGTGGTGGTGTCATCTGGTATTGTGGGTGTGGTGGTGTCATCTGGTATTGTGGATGTGGTGGTGTCATCTAGTAATGTGGTTGTGTTGGTGTTATCTGGTATTGTGGATGTGGTGATGTCATCTGGTATTGTGGGTGTGGTGGTGTCATCTGGTATTTTGGATGTGGTGGTGTCATCTGGTATTGTGGATGTGATGTCATCTGGTATCGTGGATGTGGTGGTGTCATCTGGTATTGTGGATGTGGTGGTTTCATCTGGTATTGTGGATGTGGTGGTGTCATCTGGTATTGTTGATGTGGTGGTGTCATCTGGTAATGTGGATGTGGTGGTGTCAACTGCTATTGTGGATGTGGTTGTGTCATCTGCTATTGTGGATATGGTGATGTCAACTGCTATTATGGATGTGGTGGTGCCATCTGCTATTGTGGGGGTGGTGGTAACATCTGCTATTGTGGATGTGGTAGTGTCATCTGCTATTGTGAATGTGGTGGTGTCATCTACTATTGTGGGGGTAGTGGTGTCATCTGCTATTGTGGAGGTGGTGGTTTCATCTGCTATTGTGGAGGTGGTGGTGTCATCTAGTATTGTGGATGTGGTGGTGTCATCTGCTATTATGGATGTGGTGGTGTCATCTGCTATTGTGGATGTGGTGTCATCTGCTATTGTGGATGTAATGGTGTCATCTGGTATTGTGGTGGTGTCATTTGCTATTGTTGATGTGGTGGTGTCATTTGCTATTGTTGATGTGGTGGTGTCATCTGGTATTGTGGATGTGGTGGTGTCATCTGGTATTGTGGATGTGGTGGTGTCATCTGGTATTGTGGATGTGGTGGTGTCATCTGCTATTGTGGATGTGGTTGTGTCATGTGGTATTGTGGATGTGGTGGTGTCATGTGGTAATGTGGATGTGGTGGTGTCATCTGCTATTATGGATGTGGTGGTGTCATCTGCTATTGTGGATGTGGTGGTGTCATCTGCTATTGTTGAGGTGGTGGTGTCATCTGCTATTGTGGATGTGGTGTCATCTGCTATTGTGGATGTAATGGTGTCATCTAGTATTGTGGTGGTGTCATTTGCTATTGTTGATGTGGTGGTGTCATCTGGTATTGTGGATGTGGTGGTGTCATCTGGTATTGTGTATGTGGTGGTGTCATCTGGTATTGTGTATGTGGTGGTGTCATCTGGTATTGTGTATGTGGGTGGTGTCATCTGGTATTGTGTATGTGGTTGTGTCATGTGGTATTGTGGATGTGGTGGTGTCATCTGCTATTGTTGAGGTGGTATCATCTGGTATTTGTGGATGTGGTGGTGTCATCTGTTATGTGTTGAGGTGGTGGTGTCATCTGGTATTGTTGATGTGGTGGTGTCATCTGCTATTGTGGATGTGGTTGTGTCATCTGCTATTGTGGATGTGGTGGTCATCTGCTATTGTGGATGTGGTGTGTCATGTGGTATTGTGGATGTGGTTGTGTCATGTGGTATTGTAGATGTGGTGGTGTCATCTGCTATTGTGGATGTGGTGTCATCTGCTATTGTGGATGTAATGGTGTCATCTGGTATTGTGGTGGTGTCATTTGCTATTGTTGATGTGGTGGTGTCATCTGTATTGTGGATGTGGGGTGTCATCTGCTATTGTGGTATGTGGTTGTGTCATGTGGTATTGTGGATGTGGTGGTGTCATCTGGTATTGTGGATGTGGTAGTGTCGTCTGGTATTGTGTATGTGGTGGTGTCATCTGGTATTGTGTATGTGGTGGTGTCATCTGGAATTGTGTATGTGGTGGTGTCATCTGGTATTGTGTATGTGGTGGTGTCATCTGATATTGTGGATGTGGTTGTGTCATGTGGTATTGTGATGTGGTGGTGTCATGTGTATT